GGGGGTGGCTTCCTGTCCCCTCCATTGTGCTGTGACAATGCCGGGATTAACCCGATCTCGCCGGGTTTGGACCTGGGGTAGGGCAGGTTTAACCTGAGCTCGCCTGGTTTGGACCAAAAATGGGTCGGGATTAACCCGATACTACTTGATTTGGATCCAAAACGGGTCGGGATTAACTCGATCCCAGCTGATTTGGACCCATTTTGGGTCGGGACTAACCCTATCCCAGATGTAGTCCTGGCTCAGGTCAGGCTTAACCCGATCCTGACTGAGTTAGACCCAAAACAGGTCGGGATGAACCCAATTCCAGCTGATTTGGACCCATTTCTTCAGACGGGGCTCCCTCAACATTCCCAGACCCCAAACATCCCGTTTTCCCCCCTAAATCCCGTTTTTTCCGCCCGGGTTTCGCTTGGCAGCGGCTCGGGGAGCAAAGGTGGCGCAGGAGGGTGGGGGACGAGGCCCTTCCCGGTCACATTCCCTCTGGGAATGAGTCACCGCGGCCGAACCCGAGATTTGGGGAGTCCCAGCGGGGTCCTCCCGCCCCCAGGGATGGACACGGGGGGTGACACGGGGGTGTCGCTGTGTCCAAACGCAGGGAATTGCGGGAATTGCAACATTCCCTGGCCGGTTTCCTGCGAAACTGGGCAGAAACTGGGCAGGGCGGGAGGTGCCCAGACGGGATTTTCCGGCTCTGGGGAGGGACCGGGGACCGTCCCCGCGGCCTCGGGGCTCGCGGTGGCCTCCTGACCCTGCCGGGAGCCCGCCGGGATCGCTCGGCCGGGATTTCAGCCGGGAATTCCCTCGGCAGTGGCGCTGGTGGGAGCCCAGGTGACCTCGGAGAGCAAGGAAGTGCCGGAACACAAACGTGAGTGCCGGGAACATCCCCCCCTCGGAGCCCCCGTCCGGTTATCCCACGGGATCGTGGGCAAACTGGGACCCATCCCATGGCAAGGGGTGAGGTTTGCATGGGGGGAGGCTCGGGGTGATCCCACTTTGGGATGATCCCACTTTGGGGTGATTTCGATTTGGGATCCTAGTTTTGGGATGATCCCAGTTTGGGGGATGCTCCTGTTCTGGGGTGATCCCAGTTTGGGATGATCCCATTCCGGGGTGATCCCCATTTGGCTGATCCCATTGTGGGATTATTCTGGGTGATCCCACGTGGTGTCCGTGTCCCGCAGCCGTGGACATCCCCTGCTCCGCGTTCCGCTCGGGCTGGAGCAACCCCCGCATCGAGTGGAAGTTCCAGAAAGGCTCCTCCCTGCAGCTCTTCTACTACGGGGGGGAACTCACAGGTACCGGGGGGTCCTGGGGGAGCCCCGTCCCCGGGGGTCCCTTTGAGGGGATCCCAGCTCTGTGTCCCCCCAGAGCCGTACCGGAACCGTGTGCGGTTCTCGCCCACCTCCATCCACTTCGAGTCGGTGACGCGGGAGGACTCCGGGAAGTACATCTGCGAGGTGGTGGGGGATGGCAGCCACATCGCCAAGTCTGAGGTCACCCTCACGGTCCAAGGTGGGGACGCTGTCCCTTGTCACCCCCCCGGGGTCCCCTCCCTTCCCTTCCCCGGAATTTGGTGTCCCCAAGGGTCTCTGGGGACAGGGAGGGCTGTGCCAGCCTTGGGAGGGACTCTGGGACCACCATTCCCTGGGATCACTGGGATGCGGATGGATGGACACTGTTCCTGTGGGTGGGACGGGATGGGGTGGGATGGGATGGGATGGGATGGGATGGGATGGGATGGGATGGGATGGGATGGGATGGGATGGGATGGGACAGACACCATCCCTGCGGGTTGGCCCCGTCCCCGGTGGCCCTGGGAGGTGCCAGCCCTGCTCCGTGCCCACAGTGCCCCCCGGGAAGCCTGTGGCCCACGTGCCCAGCTCTGCCACCATCGGCTCCCGGGTGGTTCTGCGCTGCTCCGAGGGCCAGGGCTCCCCCCCACCCACCTTCCGCTGGTACAAGAACGGCTCGGTGCTGCCCCAGGACCCCAAATCCAGCCCCACCTTCCGCAACTCCTCCTACAGCCTCGACCCCCGCACGGGGGAGCTGGTCAGTGGGGGAGACAGGGGGAGGGGGCTTTTCCCTGCCCTTTTTTCCTGCCTTTCTCTCCCTTTTTCCTTCTCCCTTTTCCCTATCCTTTTCCCCCCCCTTC